TATTCATTCAATTCATTCATTGAGTTAAGTATTCATTCAATTCATTCCTTCTTCACTACAATGATTCATTGAGTGTCATTGCTTTAATCTTTAACTGAAATGGATTTATTCGGTCAAATGAACATAGAAATCGCATTGTAAGTATTCCTTACTTCTTCAGTACAATGATACATTGAGTGTCACCGGTTCGTTCAGACTTATTAAATTTAATATTTTATCAGAACTATTCATTCCTCCCTTCAGTATTATAGATTCAACTAGTCTCATTAGTAGCTTTCGTTACTCGCTAATTAAGCCGATCTAGTGACTCTCATTGACTCAGATATATCATTACAATCAGTCGTTCGTTTCTCATTGGGAGTGCCTTTGGCATATTTAGTGTTCTTGATTCGAGAATCCATCTCATTCGTTCACACGTCAGTGAAACTGGGGTTTTTACACCCACCACCGAAGGGGGAGAGATTTATTGATGTTGCGAAAACTTTTGCAAGGCCCAAAAGGAAGTATCACAGGGTATACACATTCTTGATCAGCATCGAATTTTAAATCTATTTAAGCATATCCGTCGGTTAACCTGCATGTCTATCCATCTGTGTAATGTCTGTAGTAAGCATTTTTCTGATCGCACAAATCAAACTATCGTCTTCAAATTTGACAGAAATATTGGATGTTTTTGTGTGCAGCTTGGTCTTGATAATTGGCCAAATTGATCGAAAGACACGTCCACCGCATCAAGTAAACTGCGAGCACCTGAGTTTTTCAAAAGGAATGAAAAATTGGGTTTTTGCTCCTTACCCGTAAACTACACCAGATAGATTTACAAAAATTTGAACATATATTGTATAAGTGAAGCTGTAGCACCTATACGAAAATGGGAAAAATTGAACACGCCTACCCAATATTATAGTGTATCAATATTAAATTTTTTTTTCGATACCTTTATAAGGCGCAGAAACAAGCTTCAAAAATCCCATATAATAAATAAATATTTCGCTATTTTCAAATTTGGAATGCACCTAAACATGTCCGTGTGTTCGTCTGTGCAACTCTATGGTAGTTGTGGCGTACATTCTGCCATTCGCAAAAATGAAAGTATCGGCTACAAAGTTCCGAAAGAACTTGGAAGTGACTTCAACTTTTATAAGGGCACGCCTACAACGTTCATATGCCTCCGCGACAAAGACTTTTTACTTTGAAAATAGACAAAATCAGCCACATCCGCTTCGTATTATAAAGCATGAAAATTTAGTTCTTTTGCTTTTTTTGTCTTTTTTAAGATAACGGTGATGGGTATAAAAGATTCGATTATGACCGAATGTCAGTTTCTTACTGGTTTTTTTTTTTTTGATTTATATTTCCTGGCTTCACAATATACGACAGCTATGTAACTGTCAGCTTGATGTGGTAAATGAATATGGTTTGGTTGCTTCTTATACTCCCCAAAGAGAATGGATTGAGTTTGTCAAATGCTTGAAAAGCGTTGAAATCCATCTCAAACTCTCTGATAGATTTTCACATTATACATTGGTTTTGTGTCAGCACATTGTTATCGGTTTGTCTGTTTGCATGTTCTTCTTCTGTTTTGAGGACATAATCGACGGATTTTTCAACAGTGGAAGAACAGGCAAACAAGCTGACGAAATGTACTTGCAAAGCTGAGAGGTGTTAACATGTTTTGAGTTATATACTATTCACGATGCGATGATAATGATGATACATTAAATACATTAAATGGAGGCGATATAAAGAATGATGGGTAGAAAGACGGACCGAATGGGTGTTGGTTTTTAAAAATTGATCGTTTGAATTTCAATAATTCGTTTGCCTCACACACTGCTTCACTCTTTACAAGTAATTTTGAAATCAAGCTTTAACATAATAATTATTTTCAACAAGTTATTGCCAACTAATAATCATTTCATTTGTATTTCAATTTCATGTGGGAATGTGCAATGTGTAGAGAAAGTTATATAACAAAATACAAAATCTCTTGACCAAACAAACAACAAGGTTAACGTTAGTTGACCCAAATAAACATAAAAAAAAAAATAAAAAAAAATTATTGTTATTATTAAAAGTAAAGCAGAGGAAGTGATTTTAATATCTTGCCAAACAGAGACATATTTCCAAAGTCTTCACTACCATGTATTGCAGATGTCATGATTATTGCTTTATGATGAGTTTTGGTAAGTCTTTGTTATGTTCGAAGAAGCAATTTCTTACTTAATATGAACTTAACGACTGTTTAACTATGATGATCAACTTTGTTTTTTTTCTTTTGTCTTATAAACCACTTCTTAGTCATCATCGCATGCCGATAAACCAGTATAGGATAAGACAAAATGCAGCAACAGCTAACTGGGACACTTATGATAAAACTCTCCCTTCTTTTTTCATACATCAAACTTATGTTTTTTTTTTTGTTTGTTTCACCGCAAATGTCTTATTCTCACTAATACAAACGTTTATGTCCCCTCTGCAAAAAAATGCAAAAAAAGAGTAATTTAGCTTTGGTTTATCTGTCTGGTCATGTTACCGCCATTTGCAGCAACATGATTGCGCTAATTGTAAATGGTTTTTGTATTATTATTTGGCTAAAATTATTATTTTCTTAGCCTGACGATTGCAACATCTTCCACTTAAACTGGTTTGGTTTTTTCTTTTTTTTTTTCATTTTTTTTTCATTTTTTTTTCTTTCTTAACTAACATGAACACAAATAAATGATTTTTTATTGTTTTTATTTTTCATTTAGAAATTATTGACTTAAAAAAAAAGAAAAGAAAAAAATCAAAAAACTAGTAATCATACGGCGGTTTTTTCTTTTTTGTATCAATGACGGGCTACAAGAAATCCAATGCACCTGTGCTCACGCATACTTATAGATGGATGACTTTATGCCCATGCCCATCAGTATGAAACATCCGGGAAGGATTAGGATAGAGAACCATTCAGAACCATTTTCTGAATCGATTTAAGCTTGTTTGTCCGTTCGTATATCCGTCCGTCTGTCCGACCGCCTGATACTCATGTATTTTTGTAGGTCGCAATGTTTGAGATGTTTAGATGAAATTTGGTAAACTGATGTGCTCTGCTTCAAGGACGAACGCTATTGAAAATGACTCGGATCGATCCATTTGGGCGAACGTTCCCCACACAAAGCCTTATTTTGAAAGAATATTATATGGAAAAAAATGCAGTAGTCACTGGGTAATAGCACTCTACACTGTAACATTCTACATTGATATGAAAAATTTGATTCGACTGATCTAACCGCTTCGGCAAATACTGAATTTTATATATGGTAAACAGATCTAATTTTTAATATTTCACCGTGAAAGTTGGTCCAAAGTTGGTAGAAAAATGACAGAGGAATAAATTTATTCAATTTGGACCACGTGGGCCTATTTTTTAGAAAATGTTAACACTTATAGTCCAAAAAGTCCTAATAGTACAATGTCTTATGACAAAAATGTCTTTATGGTAGTAATTTGATATAACAATTAAATAAAGCAAATTTGAATCACATAAGTCCATCTCTTGGACCATAATCCATGTAGGGTTCCTCACAACTAATAAGCCGTTCAGAAAAATGTTTCATTTTTAATATTTTAAAGATTAAGTTCTAGTTTTTTTTTGACGGAAAGTGAATTTTAAGGAAGTAGATAAAATTTGCTAAATTTAGATCGGATCATGTGATATTGTGGACTGCATCCAATGTGCTGGCTTTCATGGAAGGTATAGCTTCTCGCGAAAATAATGCATAATTTTTCATGTATTATTACCGAAACAAGTGAACAATTGTATAACGTGAAATGTTGTAGGGTATGTAACGATCGGCTATGCTCGGATATAATGTTCTTATATGTTTTTTGCTTTGAAGATATAGTTGAATTAATTTTATTATCCGTTGTGCTTTATAAAATTTGAAGTAAAGAAAATAAAATGATCCAATTACATTTTGGGTATATATGAATGGATATAGGAAGTTTTGAAAAGTAGGTAAAAATAATTTTTCTTGTTTCTTTTAAAGTGGTGCAAAGAGTATTCACTTGGGAGAGGTTATGATATACAATTGGAGGCAATTTACTATTTTTAACATTTCAACCCATGAGCCTTCACGTTTTTACACCCCGTCGTTTATTTATCTGTCTGTTCGTATATTCACTTACTCTAAGTTTACCGACATCTTGCTAGTTACTCTATTTAGTGCTATATATGTAGTTATTTGTATAAAATGGATTAACTTGGCTCATAAATTTTGCGAAATCGCCAAAGCCCCATATGAAAATCGGAATTTTTGGGAAATAATTTCTTCATCGGTTAAGAGTTCAAAGTTGAGAAAATGGATGTGATCTGTCCACATGCACATCCACAATAGAGAAAAAGCTAAGCCAATCTGGGAAAAAAGGTATGAGAATTTTTTCTTCCTTTCATCTATATTAAATAGTTGAATAACCATGCTGCATGATTTTTGGTCAAACAATGATCCTGACCGTTATGTCGATAGGACAATAGTTAGCGATAATAGTCTAATGTCGTTCTAGTTTGTGATTGGGCAAAGGATATGGTGTTGTCCTTTAGGATATGTTGGAATTAAGATTTTATCCGGTTATCAGGACCATTTTTGGATAACATGACTCCGGCGACTTTGAGGCGAGCAGTTTTTTGGAGTTATTATCAAGGGCTCGAGCAGCATACACGAAAATATGAAAGGAACTGTCGTAGTATTTTCGAGATTGTCTCCGTTTCTCTCATACTGTGAGTGTATATGTGGATAAATAGTTAAATTTTGGAATTCTTAATCGATCAAGAAATATTTAGGCTAAATTTTAGCTCCTTATCTTTGCTTTTTAATCGCTGCGGCGATTTTACAAGTATTGTGGGTTGAAATAATCCATGCGGTCATTTCAGTGGCAAAACTCTATACCTCTAGACGGTTTGATATTGATATAAAAATAAGAAATGGATTCCAAGGAAAAGTCTCTGCTAATTAATGAAAAATTCACCTGGAATTCAGGCAATCTTAAGCTAGAATTCACTCGCACAGTCATCAGGCATTGTATAAACCCTTTTCGCTATACAAAAAGCAGTCGTTGTCGTCAGGCTAATAGTATATATTTACGTATACAAATAGTGGTAGTCGAATTTTAACCTCATTGGGAAGGAACCGAATGTAAGACAACATTATTTTAAAGATTAGAAGATACAGGTTAAGCCGGACACGGACTTAAAAGGTAAGTCGAACATATATTAGCTTCTACTTGCTATGAGTCAATGAAATAAACGAGTTTTTGCTTGCGCTAAATAGATATGGATGCAAGTAGTCTTCAGTTGTTTTTAACCTTTAAAATGGAGCGGAAATTTAGACATTCGTCATAAACGTGCAATTGAATGCCCAAACCGCAAAAATGCAGACATATTATAACATAAATTTTTCCAACGTCTACGCCATTCCCCATTCGTTTTTTGTGCTATTAGACGCCCATGCGTTGAAGCCTGTAGGCGCCGTCGACCAATATATAGAGACGTAGAGACATATATTCATCTGTTTACTTGGTTGACCGTCTGTACCGTTCTTTACTTAGCTTTATGTGCACACATCAGATTGATCGTCCTTGTGTCAATTCATTCAGGACCCATTGGTTACTCCATCCACATATATATCTAATAATACGTCCATGCGCAGGTTAGGACTAATTGCCTAATGTCCTCACTTTTTCTGCGACTACATTTTCGTCTTGAATTTATCATACCTTTAGTTGTATTCATTTCATTCACCCGATGTCCTGTGCCTGTTCGAAATTGTCTCGATATGTTTTTGTTTATTCTTTCTTCTGTTCATTTGCTTGCTCATCGTTATACCAAACATTGTGTCCATCTGCCCACCAATTAAATTGCACATTCAAACATATTATTTGTCTTTTCGGCCATTTATTAAGCTTTCGGCTGTTTAGGTCACTCGTCTGCTCGTTTGGATGTTTTTCGCTATCGGTCAATTCATTTTCCCACACGTTCGTACAGCCAGCTAAATATAAATTTATTTTACCCTTTCGATCCAAGCATAATCCTTCGTTTTTCTTTGCACTGTTAGTTTGTCTGTCTGTCCGCTATGTTTCACATTGAAGCATATTTCTTCCCCGTCGTTTATGCCGCTGGTTTACTTGTTTGGGGTTTCCTCTCTATCGGACAATTCATTCTTCTACACGTGCGTACATAATTCTCCTTTTCTCATTCCCCCCTGTTAGTCTGTTTGGCTATCTGCCTACCTGTCTGTCTGTCCGCTAATTCGTTGGCTTGCCTGAAATTCCAAAGCATTCGTCCATCAATTTGTCTTAAGATTCACATTCAAGCATATTGTCTATGCCCCCTCTCTTAGGCTGCATGTCCTCCCGTTTCTCCATCTGTCGTATCGACTATCTCCGCATGTCTGTATTCAAAGCTTCATTCAGTCTGTACGTCCGTCCAATCAGCTTATTATATTGCCCTCAGTCACAATCTTTATCTGTGCGTTGCACTTGCAGTATGCGCGTTTATCTGTTAACTGAAAGATTTTTTTGTATGGCTGCTCATTTATCTCTCCGTCAATTCATCTCAAATTTCACACGAATTTTTTAACTTTTTGTAAAATCCTTAGGCGATCTGAAGTAAACTGCAATTTACTTTCTTGGCGTGAACAACTCTACGTTTATATATTTGCATATGAAAGCAGCAAATTCAGACAGACATAATATAAATTGACGTTTGTATAAAGCAATGTGAAGAAACGCTGTACGGAAGGGAAAGTAGAGACGGTCATCATTCGTTTTACGTTTACGCAGTGAACGCATAATGGTTAGTCTGTCTAATTAGTTCTTTTTTTTCTTAGGGTTTTTAACTCTCTATCTTATAAAACACATAGTGATTTTTACTTGAGTGTAAAAAATTTTCTTTTTCTTTTCTCTTACCTTGAAAACGGCAAGAGATTTCTATATAGATATATATATATATATATGTATATAATTTAAATTTTAAGAAGAAACTTTTTTTATAATCCACACAAAGTCAATCCTTTAACTTAGTTGTCTTTGGATTTTTAGCTTTCGTCAGTTATTCCTTGCCAGACTTGTTTTTAAGCTTTTGCGTTGTTGTTGTTATCTTTTATGCTCTTTCTTTTATTTATTTGATTTTATTTTATTTTTTTTTTTTTTTGAGTTTTGAAGAAAGTAAGAAAAAAAAAGAGTTAACAATTTTCCTCGCACACAAAACACGTATGATTTTGATAAATTTTTGCAACCGTTACGTTTGAAGTAAAATCTGCAACTGAGTACGAAGCAAACATGTTTTGCTGCTATATAAATCGAATGATCATGTCTTGTAAAGCAAAAGTTGAAAAAAAAAAAAAAAATTTGAAATCATACATATACAAACGTAAATACTAAGTACGCTTATGTGATGGACGCTTAGTATTTGTATAGTCCAGACAACAATTGCGTACAGCCATAAGTACATGTACTCGTATATATCTATTTATACAACTTGTGTTCATATGAATTTTTTTTCTTTCCTTTTCTTCGTTTTTTTTTTTTTTTCATTACTCTTATGATGTTGAATGAATGTATATGTAAGTGTGTGCGAGTGCGTATGTGTGTGTGTGTGTGTGTGTGTGTGCTTGCGTGCTTATAAGCTTGAATTAAACAAAGAAATTTCTTATAAGTTTCGGTCAATCTTACAATAGCTGTGATGACTATGATAAATGTTATAAGATTTTTTTTCTTTTATTTATTTATTTATTTATTTATTTATTTTTTTTTACTTTAATAAGTATGATGAAAGTAGTGTTAAAGTTTATGTACATTGCAGCACCTGATTTTGTTTATTGACCAATAAATTTCATGATTGTAATGACATCTGTAATGAACATAGAATATGTGGCATTTTTTCTTATAGATACGTTCTGGTAAACGGAAGACAAATTTATAGCGGAAATATCGATTTTACTTTGGTTTTAAGTCAGCTGCAAAAACTATGCATAACAAGTAAGAAAATTTTATTCGGCTGCGATCGGACCTTATATATCAATCACCAAAAAAGGAAAAATATAAATTTGCATCCTTCATAATAGGGGCAGGGCGTGGCTGATTTTTTGCTATTTTTTGTAGAATAATTTTTTTTGCAAATTTATATCGTGTATCTATGGTAGTTTATAGGCAACGAGCAAATAACCCAGAAAGCAAAGTTATTCTCAATTTTGGTACTATAGACATATGGGCGTTGTAGGCGTGTTCCTTGGCAAGTTTGGGACAGTTTCAAACTCTTCTGCTAACGTGAGAATGTTTACCACGGATGTTGCACAGCTGGGCAGACGGGCCGACGGACAGACAAAGAAACGTGCATACCGAATCCACATATTCCGAAACTATAACAGCTTAAAAGATATATGTATACTTCACGGGGTTTTTGCAACTTACTTCTGGGCGTTATAAAGATATTGAAATTAAAATTAAATATTGATGTACCATAATGTTGGGGTCAACTTTCCCGCAAATTTCGAGAAATGATTAAAAAATCAATTTTTTATTCTTTTTGAAAAAGAAATGTGTTCTCAGTTTACGTGCTAATGTGCGCGTATCGATCCGTTTTGGCCCATTTTCAAAAACCAACCTGCGTGCAAAAGCTTCTAATGTTTCTGCCCAGCATGAAGTCCATAACTTTAATAGCTACAATAGCTCGGAGGCGATAGCTACACAGACGGATATGTTTAAATTGATTTAGAATTTGATGTCGATCAAGAACATATATACTTTGTGGGGCCTATGAATTTTCCTTCTGGGCGACATGAACGTCTTAAGAAAATGACTATACCCCTGATCCTTCGGTGAGATATATTAAAAACAAATGGATTCGTTAATAGTCTACGCGATAGCCCATGAACTTATTGAGCGAAGTTTTATGTATCCCTCGGTGTTCGGTTTGGTTGGGTTTTGCAACCAGATTTGAAAATATTATGAAAGAAAAATGATAGATGCATAACCCAAAGGGGCACACTTGTACCGTTTGCGATGTTGAGTACCCATTATAGAGTAAAGAAATATATAGCACAAATTTTGATAACTGATTTTGGTTTGTTAAGGAGAGCGAGAAGGAGACAGCATAAAATTTGATTTCGGTACGTGGACAGACAGACAGATCTGACTTAATGATTTTTATTGTCGACTTTGTTAAAGAATACGAAGATTCAGAGACTTCTGCTATGTTATAAATTTTATTTTATTTTTTAACTGCTTCATAAATAGAAATAAATTACAATAAAAAAATTGTTTTTGCAACTAATAAGAAAAATTATTTTAATAGAAAATTATTGCATGAAAAAGGAAAACTGAAAATATTTTGATTATTATTACTTTATAAATGTATTCCAAAGAAAGTGTAACAGCAATAACAAAAACAGAAATAACAGGCAACAGTATGTGCAAACTCATATAAGAAATTGATTGGCAAACTGCTGATGTTCGTTATAGTTAAAAACATGCGACCACGAAAATTCGTCAGCTAAATAATCATTCAACAGAGCACAGTTTATATGGCTAGTCATTCATTTATTCGCTCATTCATTCATTCATTCATTCATTCGTTCATTCATTGAATCGTTCACTGTTCGTGATGATTTAACGAATTTAATCAGAAAGTTTTTTTAATTTTTTTTTTTATTTTAATTTTTTGATTTGATATGAAATTTTATTTAATATTATTATTATTATTATTATTATTATTATTACTATTTTTGCAAGAATTGCTTAGCCTGACTGCCTGACTGGCTGGCTGATTAAAAATGCTTGCATTTGTTCAGATTAGCGTATCCGAAAGCATCGTTTTATTGAAAAATTGCACGCTCGAGTTATTCATTTAGTTTAGAGTTTGCTTTTTGAAGTTTTTGAACACGCTTAAGATTTTCAATCGTAACGTTAGTTAATTTTCTTTCTTTCTACCCGCTTTATTTTTTACATTCGAAATTTCCCCTTAACTATATAAAAAATAAATAATTAAGTAAATCATATTCGCCTTTACAATGCCCATCACTTTTTACTGACTGAAATAACATTTTTTTTTCTTTCTTTCTTTTCATATAATAGAAATGTATGTTCGTTAAACGTTAGTTTAAACAATAGTACGCCAGGTGGAGAAAATTTTACTTTCTCGCAGATTGATATCAGATAAATAATTTACATTTTTCCGAAATTCCATTTTATTTCATTTGAATTGCTAATAAATTTGTCAAGTTCGTGGCTTCCCTCCCTAAGTTTCAACTCGTTGAGTCTATGAATGGTGGAACTTAATTTAATCGATACCGAATTGCACGACGAGGTTGGTAATAATAGGTGGACATGTGCACTTACATGGGGACTGGCATCTGGTCAAACACATCCATATATATATGCAAATATACGCGCACGAACATATATATATTTATACATATATACCCTGCATACCTGCCTTGGGATGTAACCTTTTGGTACAAATGCGGGCGTATACTTCTATATATATATATATATGTCTGCCTATGTATGTGTATACACGCGTGCATATATACATATTTATACACACGCACGCATTTGTACTTACATACCAAGGCAGATTTGCCGATTACGCAAAATAATTACGAAAGTAATTTTCGTATTAGCAGTCGCCCTGTCAATCGATATTTTGGTAGGTAAAATGTGTGCCACATACGAATGACGTTAGGCGTAGAGCCACTTCTTAAGAAAAAAGAAGAGAAGAAAAAGTCTCGAAAAGGGCGTAGCCACAGAGATAGGAAAAAATTTCGCGAGATGGGGAAGAAACTCGCTGGACGTTTGCGCTTATTTCAAGTCTTACGCAATGTATACAAAATTTCTAACCGATTACGGCTGCTTCTGGAAGTATTTGTACAGATTCGACCTTGATTTTTCACCAAATATACCCGATCTAAGTGGTTTTAAAAGAAGGCGACCAGTGAAAGCCGGACGATACAGCCCATAAAGTGATTGACAATGCGGAGGTTTGGAGCGCTCTACCTGTTTATGTAACAAAGGTGCTGCCGGCACTGAGACGCTCGGAATGATAGCAGATGGTGAGCAGAAGATGTTGAAATAAGTGTAACTTTTTTCCAAAAGATTAGCACCAGGGGTGTGTAGACTAACTACATAGGCGTCTTGGGTAGTAACTTCGGATGTTTTTACTTCAAGCAGGTATAGCAAAAAAAGGTAACACACATACATACATCGTGCGCTTTCTCTTCGATTATCCCCCGCTAGGTAAGTGTAAGTTATTACTTCGCGGAGATTGGTTGCTAATAGTGATGAGATCATAAGGGCTTAGTCTATTAGTTAGACATGCTCATGATTAAAAATTAGATAATTAAAAATCTTATGCTGCCCCACAAATATGTACATACATCATACCGATTAAAACTTCCAAATCAAACTGGGATATTTGTATTGATTGAAAATATATATATATATATATATATCGTAGGGAAAACTAGTTGAGTTCGCTTGTTGCAAAAAGAAAGGCAAAAGCATTATATTTTTATTTTCTAGTGATATATATAAAAGCAATTAGTTCATCAGCGAAATATAACGAAAGAAATATAAACAGCAATATAACAGCAATAAATGTAAAATATTTTGTAAGCGTACATTACTTAAACGAAAAAAGAAAAAAAAAAGATAAAAAAAAATAAAAAAAAAAAAAAATTTTGTATACAATTCAAGTTCGTTTCTTAAGTCTTTTATTTCTTATATGACATACAAAAGATTTTTTTATTAGTTTTTGAATAATATTTTATAAGCACAAGGTTCGCCATATGCATATATTTTTGCATATTTCAAAAAATTTTTGTAAAAAAATTTTTGTACTTAAAGTTGGTTAAATTGCTTTTTCTTTATTATTCTTAAATGTTAAAAAACCACAAAAATGTATTTTAAACATACATTTAATTACTTTCAAATGTTGAGTAAATGTCGAATTTCCGTTTAGTAAGTTTATGTTTATGTTAATTTGAATATGTGTGTGTAACCTTAATTTGCCTTAATTGCCTTTTTCGCTTAAAAACAATTAAATGTCTATTACATACCACTTATATATCATGTACATGCTTAATATGTGCTCCCTTCAAGAAAAGAAACAAGTTTTACGTTATTAAAAATTTTCTTATTTTTTTAGAAAAATGCCGATGACCGCTTACGTTAAACCGCCCAAAAAATTTTGGAAATTTTTGAAATATATATGTATTTATTAAATCAATAACCACAGTTGAATTTGTTAATGAACTCAATCGGCAAAGT